AAAAAACAAACATTGAATGTTAACACATACTATTTCTGTATTTAATATTACTCTAATTAAATATTTTTTTGGTTTCGTAATAAAAATGCAAATAACAATTAGCGTAATGTATTTATTGGTAAATTAAATTATACTGAAAAGTTAATACAATGTCATAAAATCTTATCTCTGAAGAATGATATGCTTGAATGAATGTGAAGAAAAATCGTCTATAATATTTTACTATGAGTGTTATATAAATTTAATTTGAAATTGCAGAAAAGTATTAATTATTGAAACAAAAACTTAGAACTTTATAAGTGACATTTTGTGAGATTTTAAAAGTTTAAAGTGAATTTTGAGTAAATTAATTCAAAATTGATACTCAAATCATGACTATGGGCGAGGAGAGTATAGAAATTGGAGACGCTTTGCCTCCGCCTGAAATTGTTGAAACTCCTGAAGAAAGGTAAAGGTCTAATTTTATTTTTTGTTACATAATAATTTTTAAATTAAATAACATATAGTGATAGTTTTATCTAAGAGGTGATCAATTCACATTTTGACAGTGACAAACCTATTTTTTTTTATTGACATGGTATTTTCGTATTTCAGTCAGACAGGGGTGACTGGTATAAGATATTATGAACAATTTTTATATATACATGTCATATCATATTAACTATTTTATTCTACTTTCATAAGTAGCTCTAATACCTTTAAATTTTCTTCAATTTTTCATTTTCAATTTCTTTATAATATTTTGTTATTTAAATTTTGAGAGTGACAAACCTCAATTTTATTTCATCAAGATGATAAGAATGTTCCAAATGCAGTTTTCCTACTTAGTTTTGCATTTTGATAGGTATTGTGTTTTTGTTTAAAAACTAAAACTAAGGTATATTTTATAGGTTCTTTATGGAAAAAAATACAACCCAAAAAAGTCATTATTTCAACAATTATAATATGAGTATATTTTATTTCTACAGGAAGTGATATTTGGTTTATTTTTTGCCAAAATAAATTGAGTACTTTACAAAAAGTTTTGTAAGAAAGTTCTAAGAAGAAAAATTGTTTTACTGAAAAGTTTCAATTTAAAAATATCACATTTCAGAATAATTACTAAAACTTATGATGTAACACTGAAGCAAACTTATAATTAGAACTAATTATCACATATGTGATTGTCACAAGAATTCAGAGTATTTTTAAACAATTTATCTAACTAAATAAGAACACGTTTTCCTGTTCAATTACACAAACGAACCATTATAATTACAATTCAAGAATTTTTTTTTGTATTAGATAGAGTGGGTAAAAAGGTCTACAACTGATATCTCAAACACAATTGAAGTTAGGACTTTTTTTTAACAATATTATTTTAAAGTAGAGGGCAAACTCTGTATAACCAGCCATCACTTTGATTCAGGAGATAAATCGGAAATCTATGAAAATTCACAACAAAAGCATTTTTCTTCGTTGTTATTTATTGGTTGCGCACTGTTGTTTAGTTTACGAGACCTCAATAAAAATTTTATGTCTACGATATTTAAATGTTCTATAAGACGTATTGTTATTTTTAAGTTAAATTCAATCATTTTTCTTATGAAATCTCTATAAAAGCTAGCATGTGGGTGGGGTAAAAAGTACCATCCAAACCTTTGCTTTACCAAAAAGGACCATGTGACCAATTTTTAAAAAAAACGGCAAAAACACTTTTCTACAATGTTGAATTAGCTGGGAGTTTAACTGAACATAGTCAGTTAGTTGTTTATTTGATGTGTGTTATTTGTTGTGCTAAATTGATTATTCTCACAATATATTTTCTCCAAGTCGAATTAGATTTTTTGGACTTTATCTCTTAATATTTCGTAATATTGAATAAAATTAATTTTACACAAAAGTTTTGTTTTCCAAACAATTCTGGGTTCAACGATCTTTTCTCGTTACACTCTGTTAATTAACCCGGCAGATTCACAGTACACTTTTCTTTAATTAAATTATAATAATAACATGTACTTTCATGTAATATTATGGTTATTGCTTAAATGGAAAGCTGATTGGAAACGCCAACTTTGTGCTATATTGCACCAGAAAAAACTTTTTAGTGAAATCGTAAAGGACACATTTTGTTTGGATAATAGTCATAATGTTTTTGTCTTAAATTTCCCCTTTTCTTTGTTTTTCCGATTTTGTCTTGATTTTGTTGTCTTTATGTTTGAAATTCAACCAGAAGGGAAAAAAATACATGTCACTTAAAACAAAACTAATTGCTGGTAATTGACTACAAATGTTCAACTTACCTCATAAGCAAATAAAGTGATCTACCAAGTAACAGTTATATTATTAAAAAAGAGCAAAAAATCTTACTTTTGTCTCTTCAAAAGCAATACAATTTACAAGTCATGTTTCAATGTAATAATGTAAACTTGTTCGAACAAAAATACTTCATATTTCCCTCTTTTCGACCTTATATATAGACCTTATATTACATGGACTGCTAGTCGAGCGCAAAATAAGTGCTTAATCATAGATGTCACGTGTCATGTGACGTCACATGTCTGAGCGAACATTGCCGACGACATTCGCGGACTGTAATGTCTATGACAAAATTAGTACAGTTCAGCTGTTAGACGACTGTCACCAACGTACTCTGGCACAACCGTACCCATAGAGTATTAAAAAAGTAAATCTAAGCAAATTGTTTTTTGTAATAATCTTTATTTCTTTTTTCCAGATATGAACGTTTGCTGAGACGAGCCAAACTGAAGATTTGACCGAAGTTTCTGGCATCGGATGTTTATACCAGAGTGGAGTCGACAGATTGGGCAGGCCCGTCGTCGTCTTCTGCGGAAAATGGTTCCCTGTCAATAATTTAAATTTGGACAAGGTGAGAAAAATTCATCTAAATTAACTAGTTGTGTATGTTCTTTTCATGTAATAAAATTCCACAGTATAATATAATCTACTAATAAAATATATATAAAAATAAGTCTGGTTTTCCTTCCTGACGATATAACTCCAGAACGCACGAACCGATTTCGACAATTTTGCATTCGTTGGAAAGGTCTCGGGCTCCGCAAGGTTTATAGCTAAGAAATTAGTGCTTTATGGCATCGTGCTTCAATGGAATTGCTGGAACTTTACGCACCGTAATTAAAAATACGAAAAATGACATTAGTGAGAATTATCAGAATTATGCTTGGTTAAGTCAACGAGCAATTCTTGCCGCAAAGAATAATGATGTACACGTACTGAATTTCACCATTCAATCAAAAATTGCTGGCGATTTGGTGACATACCAATGATTCCGACTGGTCTTTCGTTTGACTTCAAACGATTGCAATTTCCAGTTCGCCTTGCGTTCGCAATAACAAGTCGCAAGGCCAATCGCTTAGTGTTTGCGGGATAAATTTCAAATAGATTATTTAGAAAATCATTGTTTTTCACATGGGCAGTTATACGTTGCCTGTTCACGAGTTGGAAAACCATCCGCTTTGTTTGTGTTAACGTCAGACCAAAAAACAAAAAATTGGTTTACCATAGAGCACTTCAATGAAACGGATAACTTGCGGATTCACTTTCATTTACTTAGAGAAGTTCAACTAAAAAAACACTTCATTTTTGTAATCGAAATAAATTATTACTTTTGTGTAGTTAAATCAAATTTTTCCTTTTCAAATATAAAACAAACAAAAAATTTCTTCATCTAACCATCTGGTGGCGAAACGGAGTTCGTCGGGTTTGCTAGTGTATATATATATTATATATATATGTGTGTGTGTGTGTGTGTGTCTAGGTATTAGCAGTGCTATAATTTCCGTCCCACCTCAATAATCAGTATTTTTTATAGTTCCTCATTTATAGGATAGGGCTAAGCCCGTGATCCTGAGTTCAACGAATGTTGATTGTTATAAATTTTAAAGCAAAATTAAAAAGTATTTCTTCAATTGCTATATTAAAA